TGGCAGCAATCAGAGGGAATTGTAGCTGGGAGGAAGACATAAAATCAGAGGAGGATCCCAATGCATGCCCCCCTTATTGCAATTATGAGCTGACAGACCCTGGTGAGTTCACCCTGGATCCCATTGGGCAGTCTCCATATAGCCCCCTATGGGGATCACTGGAAGAGCTGCAAAGACCTCCTCCTATGGCCCCCATAGTCAGTACCTCTGTCACAAAAAGGGGACCTCAAGGAGGTCAGGGAGGAACAGAGGAGCGGTTGGAAACTAGACCCTTTACCCCTGGCCAGGTTAGGGCAGTAGGGAAATCAGTTGGCCTGCTGAATAGGAGCACAGCCTTGGTGTGAATGGTAAGAGTATCTGGCATGGCTGATTCACTCCAGTTGATGTGGCAGCTATATGCAGGGAGTGTATGTCCCCCGAGGATTTTGCAGGGCTCCCTTATGATGTCCAGATGGGGGCCTCCCCTGGAGCAGATGATATAGAAAAGCATATAAACGTGCAGAGGGAAGTAATATATACCCTCTTCCCGGGAGAAAGCCCCACAGTTATATTTCACCAGGAGAAACAACAGGCCGGGGAGAGAGTAGAAAATTATGTAGCCAGAAAGAAATTGGCATGGAGACATTCTGGGCTGACAAATGTCATTAACCCAGACTTTGCAGCCTTCCCTTTCAAACAAGCTTTAATCCAAGTATTTCTCCCTTTAATTCATATGGCCTTAGTGGGTATGGATCTGGCAGCAGTTCGAACAAGAGATATTGAGGATAGAGCAAAGCAGGCCTATGAGGTCCAAAAGGATATGCACCCTCCTAAAAGGAAACCTGATAAGGTGGCCACTGTAGCCCCTCCAAATAGCACACAGGGAAAAGAAAAAGGAGACAAACCCCATAAGGGTCGAGGCAGAACCCCTGACCCATGGCATGGGGAAATTTGGAAGCGACTTTTAAAATATGAGCAAAAGGAAGCAATAGACCCGCTGCCCACTGCTGAACTCCTAGCGAAACTGGCAGAACATGAACTGGCTGAGCATCAAGGAAAAAGCACCATTGCACCACTGATTGCTGCTCTATGGGGAGGCCGAGTGTGCCAGGATCCCCCAATTGTGGCACACTTAAACACCAATAAGTGTGGGAGGTTCACGGTTTATGTGAAGTTTGCAGGAGGGGCATTCGGACAGAATTCACTAGTGACAGGTTTCAGAGTAACAGCCGTGTTAGTCTGTATTCGCAAAAAGAAAAGGAGTACTTGTGGCACCTTAGAGACTAACCAATTTATTTGAGCATGAGCTTTCGTGAAGTGAGCTGTAGCTCATGAAAGCTTATGCTCAAATAAATTGGTTAGTCTCTAAGGTGCCACAAGTACTCCTTTTCTTTTTGCGAATTCACTAGTGGACTCAGGTGCCACCTACTCCCTAATTAGTACCCAAAATAAGCACCTGTTTGGACCTCTGGCTAGAGTCAAAACCTTACAGGGATTTAATGAGGCACAAAACATTGTCCCCTTCTGTAAAAAAATCCCATATAGTGTGGGGACAAAGAAGAGCCAAGGGCAATTTGGCTTGATGGATTTGGGGGGAGAAGGTATTCTAGGAATAGATGCTCTGAGGGAATTGAGAGAGCTAGTTGATTGTGCTAACAGGGTTTTGTGGGAAATGCCTCCTTGCACCCCATGGGAGATTTCAGCCAACTATTGAATAGCAGCCCTTGGCCCCCAGAAGTTTTAGCAATTGCAGAGAAATACCGGGAGGTTTGGGCCAAGAATAAAATAGAATGTGGTAAAACTGATGCAGAAATCCTAGTCACAGGCCCTGATCCTCCACCCCAGAAGTGGTATCGATATCCAAAGGAGGCAGAAGCTAGCCTAAAGGAAATAATTGATGGTCTTTTGAGCCAAGGAGTTTTAGTGGAACAGCCCAGCACTAACAATGCTGCCCTATGGCCCGTCCTTAAGAGTGATGGCAAAACCTGGAGGCTTGGGGTGGATTTTCACCCCTTTAACTGGGTGACTCCACCTATGGCTCCCGTAGTGGCTAAATATCAGGAGGTAATGGGTTCCACATTAGGAGGGGCCCAGTGGTTTTCAGTTTTAGATTTGGCTAACGCTTTCTTTGCTATCCCCTTAAACTGGGACAGCAACTATAAATTTGCTTTCACCTTTCAGGAAAAACAATTGTGTTTTGCCTGGGTCCCCATGGGATGGAATAACACACCTGTTATCTGCCCTGACCAGGTAGCAAAAATGTGGGAGGGAATGCCTGAAAAGGATAGTGTGATTTCTTACGTGGATGATGTCCTGGTCTCTACTCAGACCCAGGAGGAAAATTTAAAGGTGTTGGACAGAGTGCTGCAAAAGATTCAGTAAACAGGGTTTAAAGTAAGTCCAAAGAAGGCCCAACTGTGCTCCCAGCAGGTACACTATCTTGGGGTAACCCTGGGACAAGAAGGGCATTCCCCTGACCAACAGAGGGTTGAGTTTATTCTCAAACTCCCAGCCCCCACAGACGTAACCACTCTGAGATCCTTCCTGGGCATGGTTAACTTTTCCCCAGATTTTATAGAAGGGTTTTCAGAAAAAGCAGCCCCATTGCATGAATTGTGGCCCAACCCACAGCCCTATCATATCCCCGGGTAGGAGAACCATTTGTATTACACCTAGCAACTACAGACAAGGGAATGGGAGGTGTGCTAAGCCAGAACCATGGAACAGGTCTCTGACCTGTAGCTTATGCCTCCAAGACCCTGAGTGAGATAGAGAAGGGATTCACCCCATGTGAAAAGAAGGTCTTGACACTCGTTTGGGCACTACAGCATTGGGAATACCTGGTGGGTTTGTCCCCTGTGTTACTGAAAACAGCCCACTCCCCAGTGAAGTATGTACTCACCGGTACAATCAACAATGGTCACGTATCTAGCCCTGGATTGGCAAAATGGACCCTGCTTTGTTAAACAAAAATGTAGATATGGAAAAAACCAAGGTACTATCCCCAATACCTTATGGCCTCCTGATAGAGGGGGAAGAGCACAAATGCCCATCACCTGAGCCACTGCCCTGGGAGCCGTCCCTCTTCGAGGGAGGGGCCGTGCTGAGTGAGATGCTGGGAATAGCAGATGATGTTTGGTTTGTGGACAGCTCTCGTTTTTACAAAAATGGCCATCCGCATGTGGGCTTTGCTGCTGTAAAAGTGCCTATGGGAGAGGTGCTGAGGGGACAGTATACACCATATTCTGCCCAAGCAGCTGAAATTGTGGCGATAGCAGTAGCACTGGAAAATACCCCCACCACTCAGGAGGTAGCCATTTTCACAGACTCAGGCTGGGTCCTTCGGTCCCTGGTGGATTGGGTACCAGAATGGAAAAAGAGAGGAATGAGGTCTGCAGACGGGAAACCCATAGCCCATGCCGACAAACTGAAATACGTCTGGGCATTGGTGGAAGCCCGGGATACTGTGGTACACATGGGAAAAATCAGAGCACACAAGAAGGGGACTGAGGAATCAAAATGGAATAATTGGGCAGATGAGGAAACAAGGGGGGAGGGGGTAGAGAGGGGAAATTGTGGCAGCTAAGAAATGGGAAATGTATAGCTCCTATAGCAGCAGCCAGAAAAAGAGACTCAGTTCACATAGGTTTAATAACCCTCCAAAGTCAGGATCCCAGCCTGACAGAGTTAGTGAAAAAGGGAAAGCACCAGGAGTGGAAAGTGTGGTAGAATGAATCAAAATTAATTCTAGCAACTAAAGAAGGGAAACCAGAAGCAGTCTGGGTGGTTCCTACAGCCTTAAGAACAGAAATGATTTCCCTAGCTCACCATGGAGGACACCTAGGAGTAGAGAAAACCTTAACCCGATTGCAGGCTGCCAGCTGGTGGCCACACATGAGCAGCGACGTGGAGCAGTTTGTAAATAACTGTCTACCATGTGCAGCCAATAATGCTGATCCCAAAATAATCAAAGGACCCCTGAGACATCAGAGAATAGAAGGACCATGGGCCCGACTGCAAATTGATTTTATTGGGCCCCTACCCAGGACCACAAGGGGTAATCAGTATTGTCTGGTGATTGTTGATCCCTTTACTAAATAGATTGAGGCTATCCCAACTTGAAATAACACAGCTCAAACCACAGCTCGGGTGCTCACTGAACAAGTAATAACCAGATGGGGAACCCCGAGGGAAACTGATTCAGATCAAAGGCCCCACTTTATTGGGGAAATCACAAAAGGAATTCTGCCAAGTGTTTGGGATTAAACAAAGGCTACATATAGCTGGACACCCCCAAAATTCAGGCCAGGTGAAGCAAACTCTCAAAGCAGCTCTCAGAAAAGTAGTAAACCAGCAAGGGAAAGATTGGGACCAAAGACTGCCATTTATCCTGATGGCTATTAGGGGGTCTGTTGCATCGCATGGAGTAACTCCATTCCAGGCAATGACTGGGAGAGATATGTGTCTCCCAGAACAGTGGTGGGTGGATGGAACGCCACCTGACAACCTACAATCCCGTATCCTCACGGACCAATTGATGCAGCAGCTGTTAAAAGTTGTTGCTTACACCCATCGGCAGGTTGTCATAGCCTTGGGAACTAACATTTGGAAAATGGACAAAAGAATGGGTCCCATCTTAAATCCCCAAGAATAGCAGGTATAGAGACATGGTTATGTATTGACAAGTAAGGAAAAAAGCATATAATCTCAGTCCTATTTGGGCAGGACCAGTTAGAATCTGTAACAAGGCTAGCCCCACTGTCTATCAGCTAGAAATTCAGTCAGGAAAGAAAAACATACTGAAGTGGTTTCACTCCTCACAGCTAAAATGATGGAAGGGAAACCATCCCAGTCAGCCTTAGATGAAGCCCACTGTCAGGCCAAGGTACCCCCAGCTCGGGAGAAACATGCTTCAGACATCAGTAAGTCTGAATGAATATTAGCTCCAAGACACTTCACAACTTCCTCCCTCTTAACGGGTGTGTGTGAGGGGGAAACAGTCTGTTTGTTTTATGTTGCAGAGTCCTCTGTCAGCAGATGTCCAACAGCCCTGCCTGAGATGCGGTCCTGGCTGTGTATGTTGCTATCTGGATTCTCGTGTTTGTGGGTCTATGCTTCTGATGTCGGTGCACCAAAAACCATCGTGATCGAGACATGGGAGAACCACACATGGAAGACACTGGAGTGTGAAGTAAACAATACCCTCGATGTTGCTCCAAGTCCCGCATATGTTTCAGGGAAAGCCTCCATCTTTTTGGACCCACAGATGGATACAACCCCACTTCCGTGAGGTTAAAAGGTTTGAACAAAGTAAACATCATTGTCGGAATGAGTGGGGAAGCAACATGTATAATGGGCTGGACTGTAAATGATAGTCCACTTTGGTGGCTAAAGAATCCCAGAATGATTAGTGGAAACATCATTATCCTCATGAATACCATAATATTCCCTTCCCCTTTTTGGCCCAGGAGAGAAGATTTATTGGTGGGAGGAATTGGAAAATACTACCTAGATAAATTAGGCTGTCATTGGGTGGGAACAAACAGGCTGCTGCATAATTGTAACCAACCTAGATGTGCGCAGCTGTGGACTGACCTTCCTAATAAAACAGCCCCTAGAGACAAAATGGTCCAATTTAAATTAGAATATGCCATCTACCTCACTGGGAAGCAGACAAATTTGGAGAAAACAGAATTGCAAATAGTCACACCAGGAGGGGAATGGAAGATCCTCCTGTCCTGTTACAACAGGAACCAGTGGCTGCTCACAGAGGAGCTCCTGTCTCTGAGATATGGAGAACAGCATCAGTTAATCTGGTGTGCTAGTGAGGAAATTATCAACATGTGGGTTAGCATGACAGGAAAATGGTTTCTGCGAGGGCCTCATGGTGTAAAAAGTTGCATTGTTTAGGTTTTGGACCCAGTAGTCACCAATTTAATCAGTCCCTATGTTGTCCGAACCAATGTCAAAAAGCAATTGGTTCTTGACCCTACTCAATCCCTCAGAAAGGTCATTCTAGACCTAAGTTTGACAAAGGTCTCAGTGATAGAGCCCCGGTGTAAGCAATTTGTTCCACCCTGATTTGAAGGTTGGAAAAATTGGATGGAAACACACAAAATTCCCAAACCAAAAAGCTCTAGCAGGGAAAGCAGAAGGGTAAAAAGAGACTTTATGGGGAGCAATTGGAATGGGAGGAGCAGTCCTTAACAGCATTAATGAGAAGGTGCTTGCAAACAAGATGAATCCAATGGGAGCTCACATAAAAGATTTGACTACACCTATTAGGGTATCATTTGAGCAATTAAGGTCTCTGCAATCCCAAGTAGCAAATATCTTAGAGGAATGGGGAAAAACCCAAGAGGAAGACCATCACCACCTCTTGCAGGCTGTTGGCACTCTGCAAGCTAACATTTCTTTAGCTATGGCATGTATGCAAATGCAAGTATGGATGATTGATATAGTAAAAGATATGATTCGTGATGGTAGGAATTTCCCAGTAGAAATCAGAAACATCATTTGGAATAATTCACCCAAACTGAGAGAGAGTTACAGGCCTGGTGGAAAATGGTAAATTTTACGTATAATCAACACTCAGAGGAAATCACGGTCTTTGTTTTGCTAATGTCCCAAGCAGAAATAAAATAGGTTTCTCCCATTGTGGCTTTAGGCTTCAATATTAATCAGACCGTAATGAAACCTATCGACCACAGAGTGTGAGTAGTGAAAGATGATCAAAAGAGGAAAACAGTAGAATTGGGAGCCTGTTTAGAGGAACCTAGAATTGGATATGAATGTAACAAAAATGCCCTCCAACCTCAGGATGTATGTTTGGAAGTAACTGAAGGAAAATGCCATTTTGCTATTAACCCATTTGTAAGTAACAATTCTGTATTTGTGTATCTAGGAAATCATTGTGTATGTTTTAGAAGTTGATGTCCTGCATTTCTTATTAATTTTGTGCATAAAGTAAATCATAATCCTTATGAGAATAAATGTTTCTGTCATATTGTAGCAATTAGGGGATGTGATTTCAAATTTCATGTACCCAAATTTAAATATAGTCAGTTAAAAGTGGCTTATACTTTGTATTCCATTGTAAAACCTGTGCCCCTTGAAATGGGTCTAACTGCTTTACAAACATTACTTGTACACCCTGATTTACAGAACCAGTAACAAACTGCAAAACAGGAAGGGTGCAGAGTCATGGTTACCATGCATCATAATGCCAATGAAATTAAACGGGTATTTGCAAGAATTGTCCAGGACCTGTTGCACCACTGGTGGGAAGTATTATTGGGATGGTCCCCCACTGGCACAGGCATCCTGAATTTGGCCCTATACCCCATCATAGTAATCTTGGGGTGCCAAAGAGTAGTGGTTTTTGTTACCAGCCTAATGACATGCTGGATATGGTGCAAACTCCAGCAATTGCAAGTCCCCTGACAGATGAGTCAGTGGTTACTGCCACCGGCACTCGTACCCCCAGGTAAGGAACATATAAAACTTGTTGCCCTTCCCTCAACTGGGAAAGGAGGCTAAGGCGATCACTTGTCAAGTGCTATGCTGGTGTGCTAAGTATGGGATGCCAGCAAGAAGATAATTTGCTCGGTCTCGGCTGAGAGCCTTGAGCTTTTGTTGGATCTCAACGCAGGTGCATCCAGAAAAGGTGTGACAGCGATCATGTAAGGACCCCTTGTGTGAAAGGTGACCTTTAAGGAGGGGAAACTGTACAGGGAGACTTCGGCAAACCAGTAAAGTGTCTGAAACCACTATGGCTTATTGCTAAAAGCAGCCAAGTGAGCAGGCTGCAAAATGGCCATTCAGCACTCTCAGTTTGACCAAGGCATGAGGGGAGGGGGTTTTAGGTGCCACAGAAAGGGCAGCTTGACCCCCGCATCCTTCCTGATAAGAACTGTGTCGAAGTGGCTGATACATGCATTTTAGAAGAGCAGGATGTGCCCTAGGAATGTCTATTGGGGCCTCAAGACTGCAAACTCTGGAAAAACCCACACCTGGTTAATCGATAATCAGAAGGAACCTCTTGCTTGCCCATTGAAATGGCTTACTTAACAAGTTTTCTTTAAGGGACATGTCATTCTATTACTATAAATAAGGGGGGAATGTTTGAGGTAGTTGGGTTCTTTTTGGACTCTCCCTCTGGATACATCTTGCAGTCCCCACTGACAGACAGAAGATTTGGCCATCGGAAGCCTGCCACTGTGTCACTCTAGAGCCACACTCAGCTTTGGTAATTATCAAGGGTTCGGAGTGTTTTACTAACCTGTTGCAGACATGTGTAAGTGCTTGAAACTAAGTAAAGTTTAGCTTTAAGTGAAAGCACTCTTGTGTTGTCCTGTTTGTGCCTGCCATCTATCAGTTGGACGGCCGTGTCTCCCCTGATTTATTTCTGACACCACCTCACACAGAGTAAAAGTTACCAAGAGCTTTGGGTTAAAAGAGTCCCAGGTAACAATAGTGAGAGAGGATGATGATCCAGAACAAGCACAACGGGATCATGACTACAAATTACTACAGTTTTTCCAGAAATGCAGAAGAAAGAATATTAAACTGACCTTAGACAAGCTCAGGTGGAGCGTAACCGGCGTGCCATACATAGGACAATTTTTATCTCTAGAGACCTGAAAGTAGACTCAGAGAATGTGAGAGAAATGCCTAGACAGTGATGTTAAAGGAGTCCAAAGATTCCTGGAAATGGTCAATTATTTAGCAAAGTTTTGCAACCATCTGTCTGAGAGCTGTGAGATCCTGAGATAGCTGACATAAGACAGTTTATGGAGTGGACAAACCAACATAAGCAAGCATTCTGGAAAGTAAAAGAGATGATTGGAAGGTTCTCATTTTGAAATATCACAATGCAGAGAAACCCCTGATGCTGCAATGTGATACATCCAAATTGGGTATCTGGGCTGCCATGCTTGCAAGAAGGACAACCTGTTGCATTTGCAAGCAGAGCATTGTCTGAGACAGTGAAGGACAATGTTCAAATTGAAAAAAGAGTTGTTAGCAATACTCTTTGGTATGGAAAAATTTCAACAATACACTTATAGTCACACCATGGATATACAATCTGACCATAAACCTCACAAAACCATTTGGAGAAAGTCCTTACTCACTGCAGAAAATCACTTAGAGCAGACTAAGCTCACTTAGAGCTGCAGGTATGACATATGGATCAAGTTTTGCTCAAGCAGACATGTGATGTTGGCAGATACCTTGAGCTGTGCATACTGGCCAGACCCCAGAAAGGAGGAATCCATAGAGGGTGAGGTGAAGACAATAAATATGGAACAGTATTTACCTACCTCTGAAGAAAGGCTGAGAAAGATACAGAGAGGTACAGAGCAAGAGAGAATGCTGCAGACATTGAAACTCATGATTCTACAAAGATGGCTCTCAACAAAAGACCAAGTACCTAAAAAAGATAATACCATTCTTTCAGATAAGAGATGAATTGTGTGTACAGAATGACATTTTGTGGAGAAAGAGCAGTTATTTCAGCAGCTCTTAGGAATGAGTTTATGTACAAGTTCATTCATTGCATCTGGGAATTGAAGGTTGCTTAACATGAGCCAGAGATACTATATGCTGGGCAGGAATGTATGAGTAATTACAGATGTTCATTGAAAAGTGGTGATGTATGCAGATCCTGGGAAGACCATCAACCAAAAGAGATCCTGTGGCAAACAAAGTTCTGGAAAGACCACAGGCAAAGGTGGGAGTGGATTCGTTTACCTTTGTGACAAAGGATGCATAATCATTGTAGACTGTTTTTCCAATTTCTTGGAGATAGACTATTTACCAAACAGAGGATCCAGAACAGTCTTACAGAAGATAAAAGCACAATATGGATGGTATGGGATACTGGATATCATGTGTTCCAATAATAGACCACAGTTTGTTTCAGGACAGCTCTGGAAGTTCAGTTAGGACTGGGATTTGGATCACATCTTCACTGAGGTATCAAAGCAATGGCAAAGTGTAATTAGCAATAAAAACCACTACGAAACTGTTGAAAAAGGTGAAAACTGCAGAAGCTGACCCTTACTTAGCACTACTAGATCATAGGAACACTCCCTTGCAAGGCCTAAATTCTAGTCCAGTCCAAAGATTGATGAGCTGGAGAACTACAACACTCTTGCCAACAAGCAGAAGGTTGTTAGCACCTGGACATTCAGGTTTTTCACTTGGCGAACTACAAAGAAACCAATGAAAAAGACAAGTGTTTTGCCAAATCTGGAGCTGGGTGACAAAGTGCATATACAGCCATTAACAAAACAGGCTAAGTTCTGGTCCAAAACTACAGTGGTGCAGCCAGGAAACCAAAGATCATATCAAGCGCAAATGGACAGTAGACAGGTGAAACCATAAACTCCTCAGGAAAATAAAAGACACCTCTAAGGACAGTATGGGTAACACATGTTTTAGGGTTCTACAGCAAGTTCTACAACTGAGCCAAAGTTCTGAGAAGTGGACAATGTCAGGGACCTATCAGAGGAAAGACTGGAGGAAGAGGGTGTCTCAACAGAGACAGCTCAGTGGTTTGAGCATTGGTCTGCTAAACCCAGGGTTATGAGTTCAATCCTTGAGGGAGCCATTTAGGGATCTGGGACAAAAATTGGGGATTGGTCCTGCTTTGAGCAGGGGGTTGGACTAGATGACCTCCTAAGGTCTCTTCCAACCCTGACATTCCAAGATTCTACCCCAGCAACACCAAGCCTAGAGACTGTGGTTAATCAGATGGGAGTAAGACAGCCCCAGGGAGGAGGGTGGATTGTTAAAAGACTTACTCACCTGAGGGATTTTGTGCAATGGATTTCCTAGTTGTAGAGGTAAATGGCTAGCCAAACTGATAAGGTGATGCATGCAGTAACAGCAAGAACAGTCAGCTTCTGAAAAGAATATGTTAGATTATATTATTAGTTATTGCTACGGTGTTTGACAGTTTTCTTTACAAGAGAAGGGATGTGGCAATATGAATGTGCTAGCAGACACTTTCAAGCTGCATGCTGTTTGCAAATGATACTTCCTGGGGAACTAATCTGAGAAGCCATGAGAACATGTTGTAAACAGCCAAACTAAAACTGGAGGTTGCTAATTAACCCTGTGTCAGAGTGAGATCTTATATGGCAGATGATCCAGACACAACAGAACATAAAATATCAGCCTGCATGACATAGCTTCTGCTCAGTTGCCATGTGGGTCTGTGTTTTGGATGGTGAGCTCTATTTTTTCTGCTATTACTAAAAAAACCCTTTTATCTTTTCCCTCATTTAGCCTGAATAGAAGGGCAGCTACTACACCCATCAATTTCAATGAGGTTTAACCCAATTCATAACAATAAAACAAAAGCAGGCAGAGAACAAGTCACTAGTGCTTAGTACACACCACAAAGATTTTATCTACAGAGTATGACTGTTGCTTCTCTCATGTGTTGGACCTGCTCTACTAGGAAAAGACCAGCGGATTATTCCAAACCCAACTGTGATGTGGGATACTGCAGTACTGTTTGTGAGCCAAATGAACTTTCCCTGAGAAGTTTCTACCCGCAAAGACATGTCAACATGGCCTCATGAACACTTCATGCATGAATCATCTCGAAGTTGCACCTTCCTTGAATTTTCTTGCAAACAAAATTTCATTTTCGCATACAGTTATGGATATTGAATAAAGGGTCACAGATACTGTCAAAGGGCAATCGATTTAGAATGTTTTAAATATCAGTGGAAAATGTTTTGCAGCATCCATCTGTTTATGGCTTGAAACTTCTGCAGGAAACAAATACTACTTTGATTTGTATAGAGATAATATCTAGCAGTCTTTTGGAGCAGCACAACATAATTTTATCATTGCAGATTAGCAGCACAGAAAGACAAACTCACTTTCCAAACATATACTGTCTGAAAGCATTTAGCATTATCTCTGTGAAACACTATTACAAATAATCAAGTTGCTACTTTTGCTCTTCTCATGGACTGGAACCAATTCATTTGACTAGTAACCTCATCCAAAAAAGGGAATTAAACTTATGTCAGTGTATTCTAAAGTGATGATTATTAACCTCTGTACTAATTCAGCTGGCAAACCTATTGAGTATATTCTGTGCTTCAAATATTAATTTTCTCTGAACTTTTTTAACCAAGTGCTGCCTTTGGGGCTGTGTTTAAAGT